TCTTAAAATTTTAATTATTAAATCATCTTTTAGGCTCTAAGAAAAAAATTCCTTGCAAAATTTTACTATAAACTATACCTTTTACTAACTCTAACCTCTAACCCTAACCTTAATACTAATTAAAAGTATCATTATTTACTTGTATTTTTAATAAAAAATTAATTGTAAATCATATCTGTGTTTCAAACACCCCGTGTAAGATTAGTAAAATTCAAAAATAAAAATCTGCATATATTATATAGAAAATTTATTAATTTACACCCGTGTATGAAACACAGTATAATTTATAAAAATAATTAATATAAAATGTAAAAAAAAAAAACTAAATTGAATTAAATTTTGAGTTATTAATATACCCGTGCTATATACATAGATGTACAAATAGAAATTGTCTATTTTATAATAGGCAATTTCTATTTGTACATGGGGTATTTGTACACGAGTATATAGAAAGCCAATCAGATTGCACGATCAGATGTAATGTAAAATTATTGCTTTCTCTAAAATATTACCTATATTTCAAAATTTTGCTTATGAAACCACCTTTTGGGTTCTAACAAAAAATTTTCTTGCAAAATTTTGGTATAGCTATAACATGCTCAATTCTAAATTCACTCTTACCTAACCTAAAGTAGGGCTTAATTTTTTGTTATATAAAAGTAGTATGTTACACAGATTTTTAAATTAATACCCGTATACCATACACTATATGTACCCTTAGTAATTTTCTTTATAATATATTATGTTGATTTTGATAATTTTGCCACTATTAGAATTAGAAAATTAATTTTACAATTTTATTAAAAATTAAAAGTTAAAAAAAAATAGTTTATATATATGAGTACCATCAATAGAAAACCTGTCATCAGGCTTTCAATGTTCAGTCAGTTTTCTGCATATCATCTATAAACAATCTATCATCAGAATTTAAATTATATTTGTGCCCCTGAAAAAATCTGATCTGTATAGTTGATAATTTAACTATTATTAACTGTTAACTGTTAACAGTTAACTATTATTTTTGCATTTATATTAACAAACACTCACTCTTCTTTTGTTACTTCATCAATTGCCAAAGGTTTCTGATGATACAATTTGTCCCGTTGCTGGTAGTAAGTGGACTTCAAGATCTGTTTTGTCCTTGTTAAATTTTAACAGTAATCTAGTTGTTGCCGCGATTCGTCGTTGCTATGATTCGTCATTGCTGGTGGTAAATTGTCTGTTTCTTTTGGTGTTTGGATTTTGACAAAAGTTTTTTTTCTACCTATATACATGCTTAATTATAATATTTTTTTTTGTTTAGATAACCTTTGAGGCATTATTTGAGTTGAGAATCACTTTTGGTTTCATTGGTAATGTTTTTTGAGTGTATTTTATTATTGGTTTGGGATATTTTTTTTATTATTGTCCTAGCTCATATATACATTAAACAATGTTCTTCTTTTAGAAAAGTTAAGCACATTATTTACTTTAGAACTGTCATTAGCAGTATGAATTTAGTGTAGAGTCTTTTTATTGTTACTATAGTTGTGTATAGGGATGATAACAGCTTGACCCGACTTGTATATTTATTATTATAAAAACTGATTAATCAATAGAGTCGATTAAGTCATTATTATCCCTAGTTGTGTACATGATTTAGTTATGTATTAAATCATTGTTTTTATAAACACTTTTGTAATTATTTTATTTTTATAAATATATAATTTTATTTAATAAATAACATAAAAATTACAAAAAATATTTCTGAAATTTCTAAAAACTAAAGTCATAAATCTATTATTATTATTATTTAACTCTAATTTAGGTTAGTAGCAATGTCGAGACCATTTCATTGCATCAATGATAAATAATTATTAATATCAGCCAAATTAATAGTATCGAATATTCATTGATCTAATAATTACATTAAAATTTTTTAAATATACCTGATCAAAATACTTACTAAATGAAATTTCAAGGAGATTTAGAGCACTTTCTTGATATATACGATCTTACTTTCTCTGGTTAGATTCTGAAGAAACGGATGAGGATATTTGTTCTGAAGAAATAGAAAATTTTCAATTAGATGACTCAAGTGATGAAGATATTATGGGTGAAGAGTCTAAAGACATTATGAAAATTTCTGAGATGGCTGTAAATAATTGTATTGAAAAGCTCCAATGATGTTGTTCATGTAAGAGAAAATGTAGTGAGAAAATTCTATCAGATTTGCTACAATCTTTGGTTTTGGAAAGTCTCCAAATGAATAAAAAGCAATGACATTATTCGATGTTAATACTTATTTCTTCTTCCAACTCTAATTTGTACCCTAAACAACCAATTAAGAGATTTTTATTACCTTACTTTGGTGATGTTTGTTCTTCTTTTTTTTGAACATTTTGGGGATTTGGTTATGATACTTTTCATCATTTAAGTAGTTGGATCAGAGAGCACTAATCAATGTTACCACAGCCTCATAGGAATACTGGTCGGCCACCTAAAAAAGCCTTATCTGATGAAACTGTTAATGCAACAAAACTTTTCATTAAATCAATTGGAGAGCAACAAGGTGAAGCACTAGCTGTTAGAAAATATACTCAAAAACGGGCTGATGGAAAAATAACTGTTAGTTATGAACAAAATGATGTTGTTCTTTTTTCATTCCATTATTCTTATGATCATCTTTATGCTGCTTATAATTCATTGCATCCTGAAAAGCTCGTTAAAAGTCGTATAACTTTTCAAAAAATTTGGAAAAATGACACTGAGCTTAGTAAGGTATTAATTAGAAAACTATCCAAGGACATTTGTGATGAATGTAGTCTATATAAATATGCATTAAAAGAAAGTGTTAATGAAACAGATGAAAATATTGATACACAATTGATAGCACATATATCAGACTATTGGGCAATGAGAGATATATATGAAGATGATATTAAAAAAGCAAAAACCAGTGATCATTCTTCATTTCACGTTTTTTCATTTGACTTTTCCCAAAATATGGAATTACTTCATAACTCCAACAGCCCGGAAGTTGGTATTATTGATCATTGTTGAAGGTGCATCAGTTTGGTTTTGTAGACGAAGGTATTAATAAACATTGGCATTGTATTTATACTGAAGGCAAAGCCTTAAAAGGGGCAAATGAAGTTGCCCTGATGATACATTTCTTTCTTACTTCTGAAATAGGTAGAGCAAAAGAAATTAGGTTATGGGCAGATAATTGTAGAGGGCAAAATAAAAATTCATGCCTTCTTTTGTATCTTCTTTGGTCTTGTGATACTAAAAGATTTCATGAAATTAAATACTGATTCTAAATTAAAGGCCACACAAGAAATTCTGTTGATCGTGGATTTAGTAATACTAAGTGTATGTATGCCAAATCGGAAGCTTGGTGTATTGATCATATAGTTGATATTATAAAAAAAAGTGCAAGTAATAATATTCCTATAAATTTTGAGAAGCAAAAAGAGGTAGAGCTTTTTTGTGACTGAATATTAGCATTAAGTTCATTATACCAAAAACCTCCTGCTATTCAAAAATATCATATCTTTCAGTTTAATTATGAAAGGCCTGGCATAATTAGGGCTAAAATAATGGTTAATGATCCTTGGGACAAATTTCAACTGTTGAAAAAAAAAGCTAATTCACATAGTCTAAATCCTTAGACTATTTGAGAACTTCCACCAAGAAGTCTTCCAGAGGAAAAACAAGTAGATCTTTGGAAAAAGATTTGTGAATATTGTCCAACTGAATTTCAAGATGAACTTTGCCCAAAGCCACCAAATGATGTAATAGAAAGAGTAAAAGAAAAAGGAACTCGCACAAGAGGAACTCACATAAAAAGAAAAGAAAAAGAAAGTTAGTTATACTATTGATAATGTTTTAAAACAGTTGACAAATATAATTAACTTGTACATAGTAGTTGATTTACAGTGAAGCGTTTAAAAAAAAATGAAATCGATAAAATTGATTTCATGACACAATTTGCTAAATTTAATTATCATTACATCAGATTTTCACAGGGGTATGTCTAACATTTAAATTCAGATGATAGATTGTTCATAGATGGTATGCAGAAAACTGACTGAATATTGAAAGCCCGATGACAGGTTTTCTATTGATGGCACTCATATATAATTTCTATTTTTTTTTACTATAAAAATTTCTATTACTGTATTGTTGCGAAATAACGCACTCTGCGTATTATTTTGAATATAGACGCATTATTTAGAGTATGTGCCAGGGTGTTATTTTGAAAAATTTTAAGTAAGTTTGGCACTAAGTAAACTTACTTCTGAAGCATTTTTTGGAAGCGCGTTATTTAAGAACACGCCAAGCGTAATTTTAAAATTATATATATTATTTTTAGGATACGATTTTCTAAATAACACACTGGTCTGTTATTTTGCAACAATATGGTAAATATCAAATTTTGTTCTTTATAAAATTTGCAATTTTTAATCTTTTCAATAATAAACTACCTTTAAATAAAATCAAAAATTATAATTTATAAGTTAAATATTAATAACTTTAGTCAATATATTAAACTTTTGATTATAATAATATGTATACGAAATTCAATTTTTTATATTCAAATCTATATAATAATATATATTCTAAATTAAATTATTAATGGATTAGATATACACCTAGATACTACCAGTAGTACATTTATATAATTCATTTAAAAACCTAAAAAATTATATATTAAAATAATTTTTATATACAAAAATCTAATAAATACTCTAGTTTTATTAAAATTAATTTTGTCTCAAATTTATAACAAAATTATTGAGAATTAATTTTTTTTTAATTTTCTATTTTTAAATTTTTTTTTGTACTACCAGTAGTATATATTTTAAAATTATTTTACTAGAAAAGTTTTAATAAAATTTGTAAATTTAAAAGTTCGACTATATAAAGAATTTTAAAAACTTCTAATATCATAATTTTAAAAAATATTTATTATTTTTATTATTAGCTATAAATTGAAAATCATTACTATTTTTAGTATAGCATGCATTTGTTTATTTTTAACTAAGAATTTAAAAAATATTTTATTAAATAAATCTTTAAAATTTTTATATAAAATTATAAAAATAAACTTTCTTATTGTAATTTAATAAAATCTTTATCATAAACTAATCTATATTAAAAGTAATTTAAGTTTAAAAATTTAAAAACTATATTCGATTTTTTACTATAAAAATTTACTAGAAAAAATTGAAAAAAATACTAGTTTTTAAAAAATTCTAAAAAATTGAAAAAATACTTTGAGCTGCTAAATTTTAAATATATGATGCCCTATATATAAGAAACTTGATATATATATTTAATAGCTTATTAATTTGTTAAATTAATAAATAATTAGCTTTAAAGTTGTCACAATGTAGTACAATGTACTACCCGTAGTATGGATATATCCAATCTATTAATACAGTCAATGCCCTCTAAATAAATTATAATACAGTCAAGCCTTTCTATAGTCACACACTTGGTTTTAAAAATTTTGTGCTTATAGAGTTTTTGCTTATATTGAAGTTAAATTTTATATATGTTATATAGTTGATTTAAAAATTTATGTGATTATAAGCAAATATAACTATAGAGAGGTGATTATAAGAGGTCTGGCTGTATCTATATAGTAATATATACTCTAAAGTAAATTATTAAAATACAGTATTAATTTTTATATCATATTACAATATTGTAAAATTATACTAGTTGTGTTTACTACTAAAGTTGCTATATCTCAAAACTAGTTAAGTAATTATCTCTTAATATTCTTCTAATAATAAATTTTGACAGCAAAATTACTACATATAAAAATTATGTAGTGTTAAGCACTGGTCGTGTGACTTAAAATTTTGTGACATACCTGTCTTTATAATTTTTTTATTAGCAAAAATTTTAAAAAATACAGTTTAAAATTACCATAAGTATAATTTAAATTGTTAAAACAAATATATTTAAAAGTTAAAGGAAGTTATTTTATAAAAATTTTTAATTATAATATTACTCTATATTTCAATTCGGCTGATTCGAAGAATTTGACCTTTATTAAAATCCCAATTACGTCTACTTTTTAATAGGTTTGGGATTTTATATACAAACATAAATTATTACGTATCGGACTTCATATAACTATGAATAAGAGTTTTCAAATAAGGGTCCAATTTTTTTTAAAAAAAAATTAAGTTTTGGATAAGGGACAAATTTCAAAAATCCACTGAATTGTTAAATTCGAATTCTGTCAAGAAACACAGACTTTGTAAATAAAGTTTCTCATTCCTGATCAAAAACATAAATGATACAATTAAAGTAAACTTAATTACGTGTTATATGTGCGCCGTCAGGCTAAAACTATAAATAAAAGTACAAAGGCTGGTTTTTCTTTGGCGTCACTATCCTATAAATAAGCAGATAGCTTTTAGAAAAGGGTCACGATTCACAGTTAAATGATCATAGAGTCAAAATACGATTAAAATTAATTCTCACCTTTGCGGAAACCCTGATCACTTGTGCATCTAGTCTATTAGGGCAATACCAATCACTCTTGCATGTACTGCGTTCTTTCATAAAACATAATCGGAAGTATCTAATGAGCCGATATTCGAACCTTAATAACATAAACAATTGATTACAATTCATTCCTTATAAACAATCAGAATTTAACGGGGTTAGATAATAATAGCACAATTGCTTTCATACATCTCCAAAAATCAAATTTGTAAAATGAAATTCCGCATGACTCATTAAGAAGCATATCATTGTGTAAATGATTATATCATTTAATGTATAATAAAAGTGTAAAGTTTTGATGGCGTTTTATTTTTGTTGATTTGCTGCGATAGTTTATCCGATATCCGGTGTATACTAATTAATAATTAACTCATCCTAAAGACGGAGATCAGAAACTTCCGACTATATGAATTAAATAAAAGAAAAAAAAAACTGTAGTCCGAACTAATTAATAAAAATGTCGGAAGAGTAATTTGTAATTTACCTATAGCTTCAAATCAACATTTTCAAAAAGGTGTGGCAAATCACTGTATCACAGGAAATTATGAAATTTCTTCAGATTTCCAGAAATTTCTCTAATCGGAGGATCTTCAATTTTTACTAATTAGAATTTTCTCATTCTGGAATCGTCTAAAGCTAGGTAGTTTTTAAGTTGATTAATAATAAATTTGTAAAGTTACGTGAGGCATATAAATTACCATCTGGCTTTAGACAATCCTCTAACTCTTCGATTCCCACATAGGTATAACAGCAGAGACAGTGCCCGATCCAGAATGAATCCTCTCTCCTGTGATCAATTACAAATTAAATTATTTATATTGGATTCAATTGTGATGGATATAATCCCTCTCCAGTTTTAATATATGTGTAACATTAACGGTCTCTGCTGTTCATAGGTATATGGGAATCGTTGTTTACACCTTGCTAAATAAGGAAATTGGGAAAATAATTGGTTGCACAAAAGTCGATTTATTATAATTTACATGTAAGGAATTTTTAAATAAATAGTTCGTACGTACGTATGTACGTACGTACAATACGTACAGTACGTACAGTACGTACAGTACATTCTAGTATATTCAGGTATTCAGTAAATAGTACGGCAGCATAGATAATATAGACTTGAAAATTTTAATTTTTATAAATAACCATTTTTAATGGTTAGGAGAGTGAGCACTAGTATTGTCCTTTTTCATGTTGGGGTTAGTAGAAAAGTTACTTGGGTTTGACGAATTTTTTCTTTTACAAAACGTACATACTATCTTGATTTCTATACGTCCTTCTTAATTTACGTTTCCGTACTGTACAACGTTAAAAATTCAGCACGAAATGTCATTAAATTTGTGCAAATAACAATACATGCACAACAGATTTTTTTTAACACTGTTACCCGGTATATTTAATGCAATTTTTACGACGATGTACGTACGTACGTACATAAGTATGCACGCCAGCCAAGGGGGTTGGATGACTATTGCTAACTTGCCCCTGGAGTGATATCACAGATCGTCTGATATTGTGTAACCAAAACA